AATTATTATTTAATTTAATAAGAGTAAAATAGAGAACTAATTATGCCAACTTTGGATGGGATGTGGTTCGAACCTAAGACCTTTTTATTGAAATCAATGAGTAAGTTAACGGTGAACTACCATAAATTAACAAGAAAATTAACGGATAATTATATAATTAAAGATAAATTAGAAAATCTCAAAAGAAAAATTAAAATCTGATTAATCTGAATAATTCATTTGATTAAAAAATTTGACCGTCATTTTTTCTACCCATTATAGGCCTAACTCTCTTTGACTCTTATTAGTATATATATATTATTAGTATAGTAGATAGATAGTAGATTATAGGCCTAACTCTCTTTGGGTCTTATTAGTATAGTAGATTTACCACACTCCGAGTAAACATTTAACTAACCTCCTACGAGTTTTTACTTTTTATTATATTAACTAGTATTTTATATGCGCGATGCGCAAAAATATATGCCAATGTTAATACTTAATGTTAAAATCTTAGTTATATTAAAATATTTTTTTAAATAAATGTGTGTGTGTATATATATAGATTTAAGATCATATGAGAGCACTTGCTTAGGTGAGAAAAATTCGTTCACTTTGAAAGACATAGAGCTGGCCTAGGGAGAATCGTTACTTGTGAAAATCGAACTCAGATTATCCCAAATTTCTCCCCGACCACACAAAGAGAGCTTATTTGCCACTTAAGCTACCACCCCGGATTAGTTGTTTTTTTCTTCGAGTGCATATTTTTCCTTCTTTAAGTGCATATTTTTTCTTCTCCAAATACATATTTTTCCTTTTTTAAGTACATATGTTGCATATGTTATGTATCAGTACTTAATTTTCCCTTTGAGTGTAAAAATTTGACTTTTGATATCCTCACTACTGTAAGATAAATTTGAATAAATCCAAGTCGAATTCACATAGTTTAATTTGACTATTATTTAGAGAAATACCTAACTCAAAACTGTCTAAAATAACACACCCCTGTCTTTTATATCCTTGACTAGTATTTATATGCATGATGCACAAAAGTAAGTACCCACAATTATTGCTTAATGTTAACCTTATGATTATATTAAAATAGGGAAAATAGCATCCCCTAAATTAAATGCTTATAATATTTTTTTTTTCTCTTGAATTATTCATGTATCAACATTAGTCCTCTCAATTATTTTAAAAGTGATAATTTTCTCTTGCTTTTATTTTATATAGACATTTTTATCCTTAAAAAATAAGTATTTAATTAATTATTCTTCTTCAACAAATTAATGCTTATATGTAGGGATGATCACAGTTCGGTTCGAATCGACCGAACACTATAGCAACCGAGCCGAAATCGAAAATGTATGGACGGTTCCTGTTATGGTTCAGAATCGGAACCTAAAGAGGTTTCAATTACTGTTTATTAAAATCGGGAATCGAAATCCTCGGTTCCTATTGAAAACTGGCCGGTTCTTGTTCCGAACTGGAAAAAATAAAATTAAAAATAATTGTTGAATTTGAACTATTCTAAAAATAGAAAAAAAATATTTTTTAAAAAAAGGTTCAAACTGGAACCGTCAGTTCCGATTTATCATTTCCTGCAATCGAACTACGACCATATCTACTTATATGTGGGAATCATAATAAATGCGAAAAATGTTAGACAATATTTGTAAATATTATAATTATAATTTTAAGCCAATGATAGTAACATTAATATTATAATTAATTAGTATTAATGAATTATTTGTGTTTACTTCTTAATTTTGTTACTAGCATTAGTTTAAAATTATAATATAATTATAATATTATAATATTTGCAAATAACGTATGCTCTTTTCACATTTATTCTGATTCCCGCTAGTTACTATACTTGCATAGTTTAATGCTCAATGTGTATTATTAAATTAGTGTACGTTTCAAAATTTATGAAAGTATTTTCGGTATCCTGACGTATATTAATGTAATATTATCAATTTTTTTTATAAAAGTAAATATTTCAAAAATCCATAATTATGAATTGTGGCAGATATGATTGATTAATTGGTGCAATAACATTTTTAGAGAGAAATACCCTCACTGGATAGTACCCCAACATAATTTTTGCAACACAGAATCATTAATTTTACCAGTTTGGCATGATCCATGCTTCCTCTTGTTGCCACTTCCGATATAAATAAATTCTTGATTATTGTTGTCCCTTTCCGACAGAAATGAATTCTTGATTAATTAACCAAAGGTCATGTTAAATTTTCTATTGTATTTTTTAATATACTCTAACATATTCATAGTATATGTTCAACAATTATGTCAATTCTGATTGAGATGAGGTTCGAACCTAAAATCTTACTTATGAAAATTAATGAGTAAGTTAAAATAATAAATAGTTAACGGTATATTCCGTTACTAAAGTTTACACTAGCAAAATGTTAGGATATTTAAGTAAAGTAAATGATATAATAGAGGGTAGAGTAAGAAAAATAATAATAAAATCAAAATAATATGAACCATTCATTTCAACTATAAATTACACCAACGTTTTTTAGTTCCCGTTAGAGGTCAAACTTTATTAGCTCTTATTAAGTTTGTAGATATATAAACAATAATTTGTTAGAAACGAAAAACAAATAAAATACGAGTAAAAATATCCATTTAACATAAATAAAAGGAAATAAAAGAGGGGGGGGGGGGGGGGGGGGGACTAGCACTTTTAAAATAATTGAAGGGTTAATGTGGATACATGAATAATTTATTGAAAAAAAATGCTATAAGCACATAATTCATGAAAAAAGTGTCATTTTTCTTATTAAAATAATTCAAAAATAATAAATAAATAAAACAAACCACATAATTATATTATATTGAATGATTAATTATTAACTTAGTTTTATATTTATACTCAGAAAGTTTAATTATTCCTTTTTTTCTTATTACATATATATTTTGTCTATATGTATTCCTAATAAACATATGTCTGTCTTGGTAAATATGACAATAATACTCCATATATATAGTAAAATATATTTGGTTTAATATAGTATTTAATTAAGTAAATTATTTGGTAAATATTGTATTAAGATAAATACACAATTATGAAAAACATTTTTCGGATAAGTACACAAATATGTACGAAATTTCAGTTTCTTACATATATAATACTTTTTTTAAAGTAATATTTTCACTGAAAACGTAGCATTTTAATACTTTTTATTTAAAAACTAATACTTTTGCCTAAAAATGTAATAATTGGTGACACAAAAAAAATTACTGTTGAGAGTCGGTCGGGTTGGTCGAGTTCAGCCCATGCTCGATTCGAGACGTGACGCTGTGACTTACCATGGAGGGATGGGGTAGAATTGCTAATGTCCACCTACTTATCACCAATTAGTTTTAAGTAGGATATGACAACCAGATAGCCAAAGAACTCTATGGTTAAGTATGTCGGACCATCATCATGGAATCAGTGACTCCGTGGGAAGTAAGCATAGTGCAGCTCTGAGATCCATCACTTACATTTTTGTTAAAAAGCACTCCGTATTAAATAAACTTTTATGTATAAATAATATCAAGTGTTGCACAAAATTTTACGTAAAAGTAATATCACCATCAGGAATTGAACATTATACTAAAACATAATTTTAGTAGCAAAAAAAAGAAGGTGGTATTTTTCTTAATAAAAAATTAAAATGATTAGACTGCAATAATAATAATAATAATAATAATAATAATAATAATAATAATAATAATAATAATATTATTATTATTATTATTATTATTATTATTTTTTTTTTTTTTGAGTGAATTGAAGTCCAGAAGAAAGTTAAAAATGCCCATGATGGGTCCCTCTGGTCTATTGGGTGTACTAATAAGTGTCATAACTTTTAAAAGCACAATATACATTGTAACTTTAAGGTTTGATTAATTGCAGGCCCATTACCACTTTCTTACACTAATCTAATTAAGGTTTAATTCAATTATTCAAGTGTCTTAGGTAAGGTTTTATTCCCTTTATCACACGCATACACACACATACATACCCATCCAAAAGAGTTAGTGATGCTTTGGAGCAATTTTTTTTTTTTTTTAAAATCCTTTTATTTTTTATAAAAAATCCTTTTATAATATTTTCAGTTATTTATTTCTCCAAGAAAGTTGAATGCTTGTGTGTAAAGTATGGGAGGTTAGTGCTTGAAAAGCCATAATTTCCACAAAATTAGTGGAGAAAAGTAGCTTTTTCTATTGTTAGTAATTCTTAAGGATTCCTTATGGAACTCTTAAAAGTGAAATTTAAAGATAAAATAAAAAGGAGAAGACGAAGATGCCTTGTCCTCTCAACCAAAACATTTTGGCCTCTATTAATTGTCACCTAGTATAGGAAAAGGAACAAATATTTTGCATAAAGTGGGCCGGTGCCTCCATCATCATTGACAAGGATTTTCCATTCATCAAAATGCCTATTGGTGAATTATGCACTTAAACTAGCTGAGGTAATTAATTATCTAATTAAATTGTTAATTTAATCCATGCAAATATGGGCTCAAGTGCTTCAATTTTTTGGTTGTTCATTCTCTGCATTTTTATTTTCTAATTTCTTTCTTATTCTCTATTTCATGTTTTCTAGTCTATAAAATATGTTTACTAACATCAATATTTCACATTTAGTTTTCAAACTTAATTCTTTTGACCATAATGTTATACAATTAATTGGAAATAAAAAAATTGAATATTTTTAGGACTCGATATTCAATTTTTTTTTTTTTTTTTTTTTTGAAATAAGTCCAGTTTGAATGAAGTATAGAGAAAATTTCAATTTTGGTCCATTGACTATTGGGGTTGTGTTAATTGCAACACTTGACTTTCAAAAATGTTTATTTAGTACCTTGACTATGCAATTTTTATCAATTTTGGTCATGCCGGCCAAATTGCCGGCCAAATCTCACCGGAAAATTTTAATAGGTCAATTTATGAGGGTATTTTAGTAATTTTACTCATCTTTTTTCTTCTCCGATGAGCTTCTCCATTTCCGGCGACTTTCTTCTCCATTTCCGGCGATGTTCTTCAGCAACTCGAGTAGATTTTACAGCTTCCTGAACATGTCTCACATGGCACAAACCTGATATCGCCACACGCCCCACAATCGTCGCTCTTTTCGCCGCCATGGCCGCCGCCGCTTTCGTCCACCGTTTCGCAGAATTCGACTAGCTTCTCTAGCTGCCCGTCCTCGTGCATTTGCCAGATTTCGTCCGCTCCGCCGATGTAATTTTTTCCGACGAACACTCTGGGCAAGCCGCCGCCGCCGTAGCTTTCGCCTAAAAGCTCTTTCAGCTCGTCCTTGAAGCCGGAATGCATTGACACGTCCCTGTCGTCAACTTTGACTCCTAGTCTCTGTAGAATTGTTCTTACGTAGCAACAATCCTCGTACGTCCTCCTCACTCCTCGTAGGCTGGTGAAATAGACGATCACTCTGTTTTTATTACCACTCGCCGGTGATTTGGTTTGGTCGGAGGAGTCGGTGATCACTTCGGGGTTTTGAAGAAAGTGCAAACCGTTGAGTTGCTGAAGAACATCGCCGGAAATGGAGAAGAAAGTCGCCGGAAATGGAGAAGCTCATCGGAGAAGAAAAAAGAGGAGTAAAATTACTAAAATACCCTCATAAATTGACCTATTAAAATTTTCCGGTGAGATTTGACCGGCAATTTGGCCGGCGTGACCAAAATTGATAGAAATTGCATAGTCAAGGTACTAAATAAACATTTTTGAAAGTCAAGTGTTGCAATTAACACAACCCCAATAGTCAGTGGATCAAAATTGAAATTTTCTCTGAAATATATATGATTCTTGTTTTCAAGTGTAATATATGTGAAATTTTAAGATATGATATTCGGATATATATATGAATATAATATAACTACAAATATTCAAACCAATAACCTTTTTGGATTCATAAATATTTTAAAACTTGATTCAACTTTTGAGTTTTAATATGAATAATATGAGTAACTCTAAGTCCATGTAAGTAGGTTATAATATTGAGATATAGCTGTCAATGCGGACTAGCGGGGCGGGCTAAAAAAGTCCGCCAAAATGCGGGCCTAAGGAGGGCCAACCCGCCCTGCCCTACCCCTAAGCCCGTCGGGATAGGCAGGGGCACGCCAGGTGTGATTTTTTTTTTTTTTTTTCCCTAAAGTATGTTTATGAGTTTATCACTTAATTGTTAATTGTTATTCACTTATCAATCACTTAACTAATAAATCTAAAATAACTACTCAAATATTGAAATATATTATAACATTATTAACATTAACATACATAGTTTTAAAATGTTTACAAATCATTAAAAATAACTCAAATTAGTCCATATTACATAAGAACTTAATTGACTGCTACACTGCCCACAAAGCATCTGAACCATAGCCGAGCTCCCTCACTTTGAAAGGTTGCTCTCACACTATCGCTGGTGGGACTCGATCCTTGGTCATTCTTTCCAAACTTCACCCCTATGACCAGTTGAGCTGTCCATACAGAAGTATGTATGCAATGAGAATTGCGATTATAAATGAAATAATTTGTTTGGAAAATTTTTAAAAACAGGAAAAAAAGTTTTATTTTTTTATTTTTTTTATTTTTTTTATAAATAAAATTATTTTATCATAGAAAAATACCTAAAATAGAAAATAGTGCAAGTAATAATATATGTATGTGTTTTTGCAAGCGTACGCGTGCATTGGATCAAATGAGAATAAGTCGTTAGGAGAGAAATAATAAGAACCAATCTCATTTTTACATATGAAAAAATCGAACAGATCATATCAAATTAAATAAAAAATGCGGTGACATTTTTGTAGTTATCACCAACTTTATTATGCAAACTTGAACACTAAAATTTGGTTCTCATACTTTTCTAGATATGCAGATTTAGTATTAACATTTTGCATATTTAGTATTAAAATATTACACTTGCAAAAATGCGAAAGTGCATTGCAGTTAGGGTTTCGACTTTAGAGTTTGTGACTGAACTTTTTTGTTTTATTTGGTTTTGTGGTTCACTTTTTACTACTTAAAGTCTAACATTTATGCTTTAGATTTAAAATCTAACTTTTTTCATTGATATGATTTTATACAATTTACCATGTTTGCTTATTTAATTGTTAAAGATGACATATTTAAGTGTTAAAGTTTGCACAACAAAATTGACGATAATAATGTAACAATAATAATACTAATTATAATTTCAAAATACCGTGTATGTGATGATGATTTATAGATCACCATATCCTTGTTGATAATATTCACTATTTGTTGATAACTGTAATATTCTTTGGGAAGAATATTCACTATATATATACATATACATATATATATATATATATATATATATATATATATATATATATATATATATATATTTAATTTAATGCTCTAGCATTCTTGGGAGTTAGCAACTTTATTTTAAGGAATTGAAACTGTCCATGACACAAGTCCTTTTTTTTTCCCCAAAAAAACTCATCAATTTATTAATCCAAAAATCAATATGTACTAAGTAAATGGAAGTAGGCCTCAAGCTCAAGAAAATACTACCCAAAATCAGCAAGTATTTAAGTAAGAAAGATACAAATTTATCCGCATAGACAACTCAGTTAGTCATAAAAGTAAAATTTAAGAAGAAGAAAGATACAATTTTACCTAACACGTACTTTGACAAAATAAGCAAAACCTTCTAGATTTAAAGTAAACTAAACCTAGTCTAACAAGAAATGGGTCATTACTTCAAGTATAACACTCCGATCCATATCCCCACACAAGCAATTGTCTTTAGATAACATGAACAAATACACAAAAGATTATATTCCTAGATATAAATACAGCACCACAACAAGAAGGAAACCTGAAAAAAAAAGACCTAAACGACAGACTTTATCTCCCCATGAAAGGAACTTTTTGTTTCCACCTCCACAAGCTCTATAGGTGAACTATCCTTTAGATTCTCGCCCAATACTCATCTATTAGGAACTATATATTACTTGGTGGAATTTTACTCAACCTAAAATATTCTATAATTTTGACTTTTTAGTTTTCACATAAAAAAAGATTCCGTGTGGTCTCCTTTAATTTCTTTTGTATGCATGCGCTATTCAAATCTAAAGGGTTCTTTCCTCACCTTCTCCGGTCCATCCATGGTCCAAATTTTTTTATGGGAGCATCCCACTAGAAACCCAGGTATTCCACTTCGATTATGGCTCACGATTCTTAAGACCCAGATATATATATTCAGGATCATATGAGAACACTTTGCTAGTTGAGAATGTGAGAACAAGTATGAGTGCACGCAATCTACTCTCAGGTATGCCTAGACTCTGGAGTAGATTGTGTGCACTGATGTAGTATATTGTGTGCACTGATGTAGTATATTGTGTGCACTTCGCACGTTCTCACCTAAGTGTTCTAATTTGAACACAAGCCTTCAATTCAAATAATTTAATAGGACCAACTTTCTAAAAGTAATGTGTGACAAATACTATAGCTTCTCAATCATGCTCATTTGTTGATGATAGGTTCAAGGGAGAGTCATAAGGTAAAAGGCGGTGACACCTAACAGCACGTTTGAAGTTTGAAACAATTATGAAATTGCTACTACATATTTAGATCGTTGTTGATTATTTCGATAAAAGAGGTTGTTTTGTAATTAATACTCCACCACCGGAGTTTAATTCTATGACCTTCTCTCAAGGAGAACCACAAAGGTGCTATCTGAGCACTAGTAGTGAATATAAATATATAATTTGTGAAGTTCAACCGAAAACCCCAAAAGGTAGATGTTTAGAACATTTGGTAACATATAGTAATTAGATGCTTTTTCCATCTAGGAATATTGTTTATTCAAATTAAAGAAAAAGATTTCTATTTTCTATACATACATCATCATCACCGTACCGTCAAGCTTTTCTCCTCCCTTATTTCTTTAAACAATGATGACACAATTCTTCTATTGCAAAAAAGGGGGGAACCAATGGTGATCTTTTGCTTGATTGGTGCTTCTCTTTGCCCAACTCATCTCTCACCAAAAAGCAATCCCACTTTCCCATTTTCCAAACTAATGAAAAAAGAAAATTAAATAACAAAGTATATATATATATATGTAGAGGGTGGAAAAGTAGGGTGGCTTCTTGCTTTGAACACAAGAAGCTACCAAAACCTTTTGAGAGAGGGGGTGGGGGTGGGGAGGGGAGGGGGTACCCCTCAATTATCCCCAGCTGTTACTAAGTTTTAAATGTGTTTGCTTAAAGTTTGACCTTTGTGATATGATTACCATATGTGTGTATATTATATTGATATATATATGTGCATAAAGTTAAGTGGGGCTTGGCTTGCACTAGTGAAAAGAGATATGGGGCCAAATGTCTCATAATATTCCATCATTTAGCCATTGGGGGAAGCTTTTATTGATCATAACCCTATCAATGGCACTTTGAACTTAAGCAAAAAGGAGCCTCATGAGGTTGTAATTTGTTCGAGGACAAAAAACTTGCGACCTTAGCAATGATTAGAAGTGGCAATTTCAAAATTTTTAATCCCTATTTTTAATTCTTCATTTTTTTAAAAAATTACCCAATTAAGAGGGTAACTTCTCAATTCATGGTCACATATAGGATGGATCAAATACATTATTATATTAATTACAGTCACAATTGGGTACGAACCATATGATGATGATGCATATTTCTTAAATGACTTTTCAACTTTATTGTTCTTAATAAAGTTGGTCATAGGCAGAAATAGAAATATTTTTTAAGAGTGAAAATTATTATGCAAATAGATTTAGTTTATAATTAATTTGGTATATTATATTTATTTATAAAAGGATTAATTCAAAATTATTGCGAAAAGATGATGATTATTGCATATTACAGTGAGATATATTTTATACATGTACGTATATATGCATAATTAATAACATTTGAGTGATTTTAGATCGTAATTTCAATTGTGTAAACATACAATGATTTTTTTTTTTTAATGAAAGTAAGTATTCCCGCATCGGGGAAACAAGTCTTAAATAAATTTTTTTCTCTCTAGGGTTTTTGCGGTTCCTACTAGGGTTTTCCTAGGTTTTCAACACCGATTGGTTCCTTTTGTCCGGACGATGGCCGGTGGTGATAACATGGATGTCGAAGGGCTGGGAAGGGAGAGGGAGATGGATGCGGATGATGAACGGATGAATGGGGAGTTGCCCGACGGTGCGGGTTTGCGTCGGTCAAATGAGGGGAGGCGGTTGGCGAAAGGAAATTTAGAAGGGAGGGCGGTTGGAATGGGCGAAGGAAATTTGGATGCTATGCGAGGAGAGGATGGGCTAGGGAGTGGCAGTGGCATGTGGCATGGAGGGGAAAGCTTAGCTGGAAAGGTGGGCAGATTTGGGGGGATTAAGGAGGGTAGTTTAGATGGGAGGGGTGTGGGCAGATTTGGGGGGATTAAGGAGGGCAATTTAGATGGGAGGGGTGTTGGCAGTAGGGGGCGGCGTGAGGGAGAGGAAGGGGGGGCGGTTAGGCAGCCGGGAGGGGTGGAGGACGTGGCGGAGTTGTCGGATAGGTGGGCGGATTGGGCACTGCTGGAAGAGGAGGGTGCAGTGTTTATGCCGGGAGGAGAGAACGACGGGGATGAGGGTGACAGGGAGGATGAGGAGGAGACATGGAGGGTGGTCGGGCGGTTCTTGACGCAAAAGCAAATCAAACTGGATTTTATGAGACAGGTGTTAGCGTCAGTATGGCAGCCAGTGCGTGGGGTGCAGGTAACGGAGATTCAGAGGGGTTTGTTCTTATTTGTTTTTTTCCACAAAACGGATATGGACTACGTTCTGAATGGGGGACCCTGGGCTTTTGAGAACAATGCTCTGGTGTGTCGGGAGGTGGTGGACTGGGTGAATCCTATGGATGTGAAGCTGGACATGATTGATATGTGGGTACAGCTGCATGACATGCCTAAGGGGTACACATCTCATGCAATTCTGGAACAGGCAGGGAACTTTTTGGGCTCTTTTGTTAAGCATGATGAGCGGTTTGAGGGGGCACCATGGTTGACTTTTCATCGTATACGGGTGTCAATACCGGTTGATAGGCCACTGAGGAGGAGAATGAGATTGATAAAAAGGGACAGGACTACAACTTGGGTTAATTTCAGGTATGAGCGGCTGCATAAATTTTGCTATTTTTGTGGTTTTATGGGTCACTTGCATACGTTTTGCCTACAAGCTAGGGAGGCGGGGGTGCCAATGGATAGGTATTTGTACGGTCCGGATATGCGGGCTGGTGGATCCCGGAGCACTCCTAGAGCGGTTGGGGATAGCTGGCTCGTGCCGGTCGGTGGGAAACCACGTCCATTGGTGAAGCCACGGATGATTGGGGCAGTAGAAGGGGAGAGGAGAACTGTGGGAGTAACGCCCACGAGTATGTCTGAAGATGAGGTGGTGGTGGCTACGACAAAGCGTCGTAGGCATGGGACGGAGGGGGGGGGGGGGGGGGGATAGTGGAAATGATGAGGTAACAGTCGCAGCTGGTTCAAAAAACTTGTCCATGGCGGGAGCTGGTGTCCAGCCCCGCCCATCATCATGAGTACTTTGAGCTGGAACTGTCGTGGCTTGGGCAATCCACGCACAGTTCGACAGATTGTGGGCCTAGCGGCCAGTAAGAAGCCTGATTTTGTGTTCTTGATGGAGACCAAGGTACCACGGGTACATGCGGAACGGATCCGGGTTACGCTTGGCTATGAAGGTTTGTTTTATGTTGATAACGATGGTTTGAGTGGAGGAATGACGCTTTTGTGGAAGAAGAATAATACGGTGAGATTTTTAAGCTATTCGCAGAGTCATATTGATGTGGAGGTAAGCTTGTTTAATAAGTTATGGCGCATGACATGGATTTATGGTATCCCGAGCGTGGTAGGCGGGAGGAGACATGGGATTTACTTGGTACTCTCAAGACTAGATCCTTATTGCCCTGGGTGGTGATAGGGGATTTTAATAATCTACTATATCAGCATGAGAAGAAGGGGGGAAATCCGTATCCTAATAGTCTGTTACGGGGTTTCGGAGATGCTGTGGATGACTGTGGTTTGATGCAAATGCCAATGAGGGGCCATCAGTATACGTGGCAGAAGGGGAAGGGGACGCCGAATTGGATAGAGGAAAGATTGGATAAGGCTTTAATAACGAATGATTGGGGTCTGCTCAATGAGAATGCAATGCTGGAAAATATTCGAACTCGGGCATCGGATCATTCGATCCTATTCCTCAGTATTAATGCGATTTGCATGACAAGGAGAAGGGGACCGCGGAAGTTTAGATTTGAAATGGCTTGGCTATTAGATGAGGGGTGCAAAGGAGTAGTAGAAACGGCCTGGCAAGAGGGGAGAGCGGAGGGATTGCTGCACTGCCAACAGTTGTGTGGAGAAAAGTTGATGCGGTGGGGTGGAGATCAGTTCCATAAATTTGGAAAGCGAATTAACCACCTGCAGCGGAGGCAAGATGCCATACGGAATAGACGAGATTTGGTAGCTCTTGCTGAGTACCAACAGATTGAGAATACCATGAAACGAGTAGAGGCCCAGGAGGATGTGTTTTGGAGGCAGCGGGCCAAGCAACACTGGCTACGCGGGGCTGATGCGAATACAAAATTTTATCACAGGTATGCTTCTACACGCCGGAAAAAGAATTTTATTTCTACTATTAAATGTGATGCTGGTAACTGGGTGGAGGGGGATGATATGCATGCTGTTATACAGAATTATTTTGAAAATATTTTTGCCTCAAATGGACTGAGTTGTAATGATCCACTTTTTGGAGTCCTAACCCCACGAGTAACGTTGGAGCAGAATATGATGCTAGACCGCCCTTTTGAAACTAATGAGGTTAAAGAGGCTCTTTTTTCAATGTATCCGAATAAGGCACCGGGGCCGGATGGGTTGAACCCGGGTTTCTACCAGCAGTTTTGGGGGATAGTGGGAGGAGATGTATCTGGCTTTATAATTAATGCCTTGAATTCCTGTGTATTCCCTGAAGGATTAAATGATACTAACATTGTCTTGATACCGAAGAAGGAGATGCCTGAGACAGTAGCAGATTTAAGGCCGATCACACTGAGTAATGTCATTTACAGAATTATGGCCAAAATGATAGCAAATAGGATG